CTCCGCTCCGTCGCCAACTGATTCCCGAAATCGTATGCAAAATTTAACTTTCGAGCGTACGACCAAAAACGGTCCAGCGGCGCGTGTTTGCCAAGCCGGCCAACAAAATGCAAGCTAAACATACACAAAAAAATAACCTGAGCGCGTCGATGCAAGACATCGCGAGTCAAAACGTTCTTGGACCGCTTTGTGCAACGACTGAACTCGGGACAAACAAGCGTGCTGTGCGGGTTCAGCGTGCAGATATTGCCTTCTTTGCTTTAGCTCACTTCCCTTCACCAACTTTCTATCACGCCAGATCTTTCACGTACCGGGGTCCCTCTCGAAAAAATGCCCGCCGAGAGAAACCTAGGTAATCAACACTTCGCCACAGCAGTCTCTGAGTTAAAGAGGGATTTTTTCAGTAACGTATGATTTAAACAAGAACAGGAATGTTGATGAGCATGCGGCAGTACCTAGTTTTATTTCAGAAAGCGCCATATTTGCAGCGACGTGGGGCTGCAACACCCGACGTCGCGCGACCACGGTGACTGGAAGGCAGAGACCAAATATACTTTTCCCACGGTCGTTGCTTTCAGGAGCAAGTGCTTCAGCTCACAAAGTAACTCCTAAAAATGTGGTTTCGTTTCACAGCATGACGGCATGGCTGGTACCCGGCACGCTAGCGTCGGAGCGCCCACACACACCCGCGTCTATCGTGTGATATTTTTAAAGTTTATAGTTTTTAAAAAAGACACGAGACGAGACCCACGAGACGACGAGAGCGTGAATCGCGAGACGGCGGGAAAACCATGCAAGACCAGAGTCGGGCGGCCGCTTGCGCCACATAACAGATGCACGCTCAGTTACGGTATAGTCAGTTTAATTTCGGTTTTGAAAGGCGACCGAAATTGTTTTTTTGGCGCAGGCTTGGCGCAGATTATCCATATTTTGGCGAAATGTAGCAGGATGTAGCAGGGTTAGCCCCTTGGAGCAGTTTGGCGCAATTGGCGCAGCAATCACATCACTGCAATGCACCCACCCTCAGGCCTTGCATTAGAATGGTTGTCATTCCTAAATTAAGCTTTAAAAATGATAAACACCATATTCACTGTATCTGGCTCCCAGTAACTACGAACTTAAAAAAAATAAAGAAACACCTGCATCGGAGGAGATTTTTAATCGGTATGTATACGAGGTAATAGAGGTCGGTGATGGGCGATTTGCAGAGGTTGGACAAACTGCTTTCTATGAAGCAGTAGAAATGTTATAGGATTGCTGGGACGAGTGAATTTAACTTAAAAAAGACTACATTACGATTAATATAGGAACATTGCCAGTTGTTACTCCGGAAATCGGTTAGGGGTGAAGCACATAGGGATCAACCCCCATGTATGCTGGGTGTAGCCTCAGTGACGCGTTTGTCTTCCATCTGGATAGAACTCTAGCGGTGACTACCGGCTACGCCGGGACAGAGCTCAAGTGGTGACAATTCTTCGTCTGAACGGAACCCTAACCACAGCCAACATTACTAGACTGCCTCAGTTGTGGAACTCCTGCGCAAGGGGGTACCCCCCATCACTCACTTCAGTCCGCCTCCTGTCGTTTGAAGCGCCACCTAGATTTTTGTTTCATAAGTGCGTGTTCTATAGAGCTAGAGTTCCTGTATAGGCTCCCTACGGGAGCCAGAGTTGCGCATTCACCTCCGTAGCGCCGTCTTTCCTGCACGGCATGTTGATCCCGCTCGTCACGTGACTGAATTCGGCGAATAGCGGCGCCGCGCTCAAAAGCAGAGGAACGTACGCCGGGGTGCGTGCAACGTCTTTTTTTTGCTGCATGAAACTTGATCCGGCTCCTCACGTGATCAGATCTCGGAGAATAGTGGCGCGGCGGCACGTGGAAAACAGACGCGCAACTCTGGCTCTCCTAGGGAGCTTATACAGGAACTCTATCGCTGCGTTTTGAAACATGCATTCCATAAAATACACAGCAGTTACTGTAGCAGCCGTCTGGGGCGTCGTGGTAAGCGAGGGGGTACTGTTTGTGCAAGCAGGTCTATGAGCAGTTTTGTAACTGAGCTAATCTAATAATGTTGGCCACAGTTTTACCAAGAACTGGCCTGTCACTATCTTTTTTTTCACATTCCGAATATCATGACTTCCAGTTGGTTGGTCAAACGTGTTCTATTCCGTTTTACACGGTGCAGTTCTTGCGATTTTCAGTTGCAACGTAAACCATGCGGGAAAGAAAAAAAAAAAGAAAACTGCTGAGGTAAAGTGTACCAGAACACCGAGTCGTGTTGGGATTGGAGCACCTCGCGTGAGGCGTGTGGTGTAGATCACGATAGGTGTCTACACCGGCACATCGGCAGTAGGGTCAGTATGGTGGTAGTTGTGCACGTGCGGACTGCAGCGACTTTCTGCAGCCCTGTCTAGACATGGGTCCCTCAGGAGCGAGCCGGATCTTCTGAGCCGCTCTTTTTAAAAAGCGAGTGAGCCATGGCTCGGTAAAAGTGAACGGCAGTTCTTTTGGGAGCCGGTTCTCTCTCGTTCAGTCAGCTGCGCCGAGTCCCGAGTCAGAGTTGGGTCAGGCTGGGCATTGGCCGGGTGCAATTTGCACGCCATCTATTAGTAGTACGGAAAAGCAACTCCATTCCGTTCCTGCGGCCATGACGACGAAAACAGCCTTATGTTGACAAAAGTGGCACCTTCCTGCTAAGGCCGTAACTGAATGGGGCTTTGGCGCTAGCCTCAACAGATCCACGAAACATAAGTTTCGTGGATCTTAAGTACTTTGTTGAATTGTACTTTTGTGTTGTACTTCAAATTATTTCGACATTCATTTTGTATGGATGTGCATGTATAAAACTGAATAAAGTTGAAAGGAAATTCATGATTTTTGTTCTTATTTTCACTAAAGTGAATTTTGAAGCACCACAAACACAAAAAACCTAAGGTAATGACAATTAAGTTTTTTTTCTTGAACAATACATTGCATTCTGTCTTTTAGAGTATCATAAACATTATATCCCCAATATCACAAAATAAAGGGTCATTACAATTAAAAAATCGCTCCTTTAAGATAAGAAATTATAAATTTATTCTCTATACACACTGGAAGTACTTATAACATGGCTATTTACTAATGCATATTTTGTTTAATATCAAATAACTAGACCGCATAGCACAGGTTGCAGTGTAACCTGTGCTATGCCGTCTAGTTATACGGCTTTGAAAAAAGGATATATGCATGAGTAGAATAGCAGTGTTATAAGTAGTTCACTGCTACCTTCGAAGCGCCGCACCAGCACACGATGCACGATAGGCGAGAATCGTGAGACACCGTTCGAACGGCAGCGGTCAACGAACGGCGCCATTCGTGGACCCAGCCACCCGGCTCCGACAGTACGGTTCGGGACATCTACGGGCACGGCTCAGTGAACGAGAGAGGGCGGACTTTCTCTCTCCGAAAGCACCACGGCTCACTCGTTCTTAAAGGGCAACTCCGCTTCATTTTTGATATTTAGAAAAGTATGTAGCCCTCTTCAGTATCATGTAGGAAGACCCCATGTCAAATATTACGATCTAATTCCGTTTATATATTTAATAAACTGGCCAGCAAACCTTCAAGTGAGCCAAGTCGCCGAAATCTGCCAACTCTAGCGGGCGACGTGAGGCGCAATCGTCAGCGCAGTCAATGCGATGGAGCTAGAGCGGCCAACGTTGAACCACTACGTCAGAAGCATGACTACGTCATTTTCACGTTTCGTTTTTACTTCTCGGAGCGAAATTGAACGATGACATCATGAGTTTCTCCTCCCGGTGTTGGCTGACCGGGCGTTCACGTGATCACCGTAACACGGATGCGCTAGTTTGCGCTGCCCTGCGCGCTTATCAATCTGTTTCTCTGCTCCCCCTCTCCTCTTTCGTCTTCTCCCCTTCCCCCTCTCCCCCGGGCCATCACCGTCCACGCCATGCGAAGCGCCCTGCAGTTGTGTCCTGTCCCTCGCCCCGCCCGCCCCCCCGGAACGTCACAGGACCATGTGGTTTGACGTGATGTGGCCATAACTCTGACGATACGAGACCAATGTTGCCTGACACAACCGAAGTTTCGGTTTCGGTATCAGCTGATGTTTAAATTAAGATTACAAAAATAATATTCCACATTTCACGAATCCGAAGATGTAGAGCTGTTTAGTAGTGCTTTGTGAAATGGAATCACACGTAAGCCAAATTTTTTCGGAATTGAGTGGAGTTGCCCTTTAAAGGAGCGGCTCCAAGAGATCCGGCTCGCTCCTGAGCGACCCAGTCACCGAAGTGAGCCGTTCAAATGTGCCCGTTCATTTCAGTGAGCTGAGCCGTTCCGAGCAGCTCACTGCAGTGAGCCGTTTTGCCCATCTCTAGCCCTGTCGACTGCAGCACCGCGATTGTTGTCTACATGCGCAGCCTCACGAGTTCCCATTGTCGAGTCGCGCCGGTACAAACACTACTGCGTATTCAATAGTACACTGTAGCCACTGTAGCTGACGTACGCGAAGGTAAAAAAAAAAACGCAGGCGAGCTGCTGAATGACATCCATAGTAACCCTGAGACGTAGAAACAATAATAAAAAATAAAAAAAATGACAGAACAACGAAGTTGCTAACAAAGCTCTAATAAAGGTGCGTGCTGCGTCCGGGTTGTTTTTTTAGACGTTTTCTTTGTTTCCACCCACCACTGGGTAAGAGACTTGCAGCGAGTGCACATCGTGATCCTGCAGTACCGAGAACTCAAAATCAGATAAGCCGAGGCCACCGTGGCAGAAGTACGAAGGGAAACGAGTCGCGAAACATTTGTACGCTCGCGATTCGTGGCTGCTACAACCGCTTTGTCTACCACTAAACGCGAATGGCACACTGAAAGGCTTTTTGGTGTGCTTAGTCAATGACTCCTAAAGGACAAACAATGTTGCCATTTGCATGTTTAACGGTTATAAATGTTGTTCTAATTGGTGCGGAGGTAGAAACGTCGCTGCAAAGTTACCTTCGCCAGCCTCTTCATGGGAGACGCCATGTTTTCCTCAATTCAAGATGATGTGAAGATGTCACACACTAAAATTTTGGCCGTATCAAATCAAACTGATAATAAATCACAATAAATATATTATTAATATAAAAAATCATGTTTTTATTTATATCATAGCGCTATATGTTAATCAATTTTGTAGTTAAAAAAAACATTTAATAACGTTGCCGCGAGTCCGCTCTGACTCTGACGTTATTATGACGTCATTTTTGCCATGTGTTTGAGAGAACTCTAGAAAGGAGGTGCAAAAGGCCTTAATCTTAGTCCTCTCGTGTGAAACGTTCTATTACAAGATTTATTTCAAAATTATTTTGTTATACAATCTCATAAATTATTTAAAAATAATTGTTTTTTACTAGAGTCTAGAAAACACGTTTTATAAAACAACTTACGAAATAATGACATGCTTTGCATTTCAAGCGCTACGTGGCAGCACCATCAACTTGTCGCTCTCGTCCAATCAGCATTTGCCTAATCTCTGTTATCAAAATGTGGTACCTTTCCTTATTTCCGTCATCCTTCCAAAGCTACTACGGAAAATCTGGCGTAAGAAATTCTTCAGCCGCTGAAGAAACACCCTTGTAAATATAATCTACGTCCTTTTAACAGAAACAAAAGGTAGGTCTTGTACATCGCTTTTAAGCCTTTCATTTTGGACAGCACTGCGCGAATGCCGCTGTGCATTGAACGAAGTCCGTAGGCTTAAGTGGTGGCCTCCAACTTTCTCGAGGATATCATTAGTCCAGTAGGGTCCAACACAATTAATAGCTGTACGGTGCAGAGACCCTTTATTCGGAGCAGCTGGGAATCGAGATAGTACTTCGCACCCTCCGGTTGGGGCAGTACACGGCTCGGTGACCGTACTTCCCCTGTAATCGTGCGAGTGATCTGATTGCCCCTTATCGGTTACTGCGGAGGTGATCGGCAAATCTTTCGTTCGCCCATCTCGACGTTATATTCGCTTCAATATTGGATTTATGCCGCGACATTGCAGCTGAGTCTGCCGTCTTTTTAGCGCCCGGTGAATTATCCTCAATCGCTTTCCTCCTTTTTCTTTCCTTCCAGAAGGCAAGATGTTTATTTTGGAATGGATCGGTGGCGTATTGGGATACTTGGGTAAGTGCCCCTCTTCTAAGCGCATTTCTATAATAATAATAATACTTTATTTCTACTCGGAGGGGGGGGTTACCCAGGCATAAAGGGCCACAAAAAGCAATGCTGCCCATACCAGAAAGCTTGTGTACCCAACCTGGGGCTCGTTGATTTCGCTGAAATTGAGTTTGGTGACACGGCGGCTTCCGTGTTGTCCCTTGCTCCAGGGTGGTAGAAATCCTTCCTGCTGTTTTCAGGAGACGTTTGTTTAAGCAGGCATGCACCTCGTTTCCTCCGAGTCTTAAAAGAGTTGTCTTCTACTGAAACGAAAGTTGCGGGGAAGCATTTGGGGGGTTGAGTGAGTGTGTCGACCCCTTTCGCCACGACAGTTTGTGATGTGGGCGTCCGGTTCGGGTGTAGTGCGAGAGTGCCAAAGTCTCTCTTTCCACTTTGTAGTGCCTCTTTCTTGGCTGCCTCTTGGTACTTCATAAATTGTACCTTCTTTTTTTTTCTTCGCTACATCTTGTTGTAGACTTAATCGTATGTCTACAAACGAGGTCCGTTGCCAGGCCACTCCATATTTGGCTGGATATGAGCAGTTTTTTAAGACATTGAGCTAATGTGTGACGAGTGTCCCGGTAACTAGCGTGCTGTAACTGCACTTGGGATGTCCGTGCTTGCAGGTCTGTGGAAGAAGAGCGGCAAGTTGCTCTTTCTCGGCTTGGACAACGCCGGCAAGACGACGCTGCTTCACATGCTGAAGGACGACAGGATGGCGCAGCACGTTCCCACACTCCATCCGAGTAAGTCCGCTTCCTCGTTGCGGCCTCGTGAACGCAAGTGGAGTGCTGTTTCCCTCGAGAGTGAGACCCTACACATGCCTTGCACATACGTCATGTGATGACGTCAAACACCAATATCCACCATGCTGGTGGTTTACTCGACGGCCCTTCGTAGCGAGAGCAACGGTGAACTGCACCGCGCTCGGCTATAGTAATTACTATGTATCCCGACGATCGTCCGATTGTTTTGTCGGCATGCCCCGCGAGACACAGTAGCCAACAAGTTAGAGAAAGTTTGAGCGGCAGGAAAGGGATGCGGCCGCAGATTACTGAGTTACAGGACGCATTTCACAGCAGCGAGCGACGGCACTTTACCGTTGTTTACGTTCGCTCGCGCCTTTGCGTCAGCTTTTGCCCGCTTGTGGTGAAGATACCCTTTGCCTTTCGTTACATCACGCTGTTTCCACGCTTCAAGCACACCTTCGGGACTTCCGTGCGAGTGTCGTGCCGCGAGCCCGGTCAGACAAGGATCGGTCGGCGGCGGCCCCCGTGTGCAAGCTCGCCGAAACGCCACCTCGGGGGCATCGGTTTTTGTTGTCCGCGAGATGGTAACCTTTGCAAGGAGTGAAAGTATGCAGGTTAGCCGGTTAGGAAACATAATATAAACCCCGAGACAATGAGAGTTGTCTTGTTGTTATTTGATTTATCTTCGTCTCAGGGTTTAGATTATTATGAATACCCTCAGGGGAGCAGATATTGATGTTTTTAACCCTAATTTCATAACTTTTAAGACTTTTGTAACTATCCTGTGAACATTTTGTTGTGCATCATTACCAAGGCGTCAAGCTGTTCATGAGCACAGAAAATAAACATATGAATGAATGAATGACGGTAACCTTCCGTTGTTTACTAGTATTTCGCAAAATCGTAACAATTTTTCTACGAGCGACTCCTAGAGCCTCTCGTCAAATTTTAAGACATGAAAGTTTTTTTGTTTGTTTTCTTGGCGCCACAACAGCTTTTTGCATCAAAACTTTGTTGGTGGCATATCGAAACTTTCTGCTCGTAGCGCAATCGCGCCAAGGCCGAAAAATTCCCCACATACTGCCTAAACGTCGTCATCGTAAGCTCGGCACGTTTTTCCAAGTTCACATGTAACACAACTATGGTCAGGACAGGTCAAGAACAAAGTGGAAGCTCCTCCCACCTCTTCCCCCTTTAGTAGAGCAAATGCTGGAAAGGAAACAACCTCTTCAGCACCGTTCGCTCTGCTGAAGTGGAAAGGGGCGGGAGGAGCTTCCACTTTGTTCTTGACTTGTCAACGACTATAGGCACCTTTGTTGAAAATATGGTGCATGCCAGTGCAGTTAGCTGCACCCTACGCCTTTGTAAGGGCATCCGCGCAGTGTGAAGTCGGCCACCAGTATGGTGCGGGGCCCTGTCCTTCCCTAGCGTGATGTCACTTGCGAGGCATGTATTGGCAGTGGGGCATTTTCTTTTCTTTTCTTAAAGGGGAACTCCGCCGCTTTTTTGGTAGACTTCGATTTGGCTAAAATGGAAAATATGGTATATAGTGCAATTGAGGCTGTCTTTGTAGTCAGTGGCGACAGGACACCATGCTTGACAAGTGCCACTCTGCACAGAGATTTATTTCTGATATCTCACCAGCTTGGGAAAAAGTGCCCTGCCCTTCCGAAGTGGTCAAACGCATGGGACCTTTCGCTCTAGATTATATTCACTCTGTGAGCTTGACAGAAAAGTTTCCTACCCCTGCTAAAGGTTTGTAAACTGCACTTTGTGTCAGGTGAGGAACCTCTTTGCAATTGACTAGGGCAAGAAAATATTCTAAAATTTAGTCATACAAAGACGGCTCTATGTCTCTACGATGCTACTGCTGCCGCAATAAGACGCAGAGTGCCTCCAACGTGGCGCCAAGGCACAGCAGACGACAGTGTTGGTTTCGATTTCGAGTCTAACTGGAAGTGATATCAGTCGCAAAAAGCCTATATCTTTTCTGCTTTACACACCATCTGCCATCCGTCTGCCTACATGGGTCTCCTGCTGAAGCGAGAGTCTCTTCCCGCAATGCAGCCTTGGCCCCAACACGGCCACCATGGGAGCACCATTGCAATACTCTGCGACTAGGAGGGATTTATTGGAAATTATTTGTGGCGTTCTGTCCTGTTTTAGTAAGACTGGGAGGTTATACACGATGATTAGCATAAAATGATGTACAAAATGGCATGTTCCAGCTTTCTCTGTGCCTTGTGTTGTACTTTAAACGTCTGCATTTGTAAGGTGCATTTATTATGAGTCTGTAGAACGAGTGTTGGCGTACCATTGTGACGTGGCCGTCGGCAGCATGTGGATCTGGCCCGCTGAGTGTCTTGGCATCTCTGTTCCAGCATCGGAAGAGCTCTCCATAGGCAGCATGCGCTTCACCACCTTTGACCTGGGTGGCCACCATCAGGGTAGGTGTCCTCACCCACTAACAAGCTCCCTGGCCTGCATTGGCCTTCATTGGGACCACGTGCAGTGTTCACCAGCTTCTGGATTTGTTATACTCGGGGAAAGCATTTCTTGGCGATGCAGTCAAGGGTGCAGGCACGTGTGCCCTCTCTCACCTTGAGTGTCGATGAAAGCTGCCCGCACACTCTCCTCGAAAATGCCGAGAACATTGAGTATAGTGATTTTAATTTTTTTAGCTCTAAACTACAGATTTCCATGTGTGCAAATATCACGCAGGTTTCTGTGGTCAAGATTCTATTGGCGACTCGAGCTAAACATTCTGCAGTCACCTTTCGTAGCTCCTTTAATCTTTACATTTTCATACCGTAGCACAAGACTGATGGCAACGATTTATCCGTTATTTTGCGTGTTTCCCGGGTCAAACTTGCACTCGGAACCCCCACCTTCTTTTTTTTTTCTTTTGCTACAAAATGTTTGTTGGAAGAACATATGCACGTCGAATGCACGATTTCGTAATACCCTTTATTCCTTTTGTCCCTAACTTTTTGGTCGAGCCTACCGTATTCATTCGAACGTAGGTCGACCTTTTATGAACGGATCCATATGTGTAATTTCTTGCAGAACTCACAGAATCGTTAAGACTTTAGAAAGCAGCCTGCAAATGGCAAAACAGAGTCATCTTTTGAAATTTTCAAAAATGTGATTTACGTAGATCTGATTTCTGACGTTATCGGCGCCTTGTCATTCGCCGGGCCTCTTCCACAAACCGTAATGATTGGCTCTTCCCGGACAATGTAGAGTAATGCGTGGCAGTCATTGGTTATAAAGAGGTTGACTTATTTTCGAATATATATAGTAGTTGACACTTTGATTACCCTCGAGTTGGCGAATCCTAGTTGGCTTTTGAACCTACACTTTTTCCGAGAGCATTTGCACGCTTCATTTTACGAGACTCGCGAAAAGTAGACACGTGACCAGAGTAGCCTCGTTTAACTCTGCTTGTGCGCATACTAACCAGAGTGTCTACCTAAAGCAACGATGCATCTCCGACGGCGAAGGACTTGTTGGTATTTTAGAAGACTCGGTCGCAATTGTCCACGAAAATGTCCGCAAGAAATGACAGCTGGTTACACTGCAGGGCCCGTATCCACGACAACTTTTGGTGCAGAAGGCCGGGTCAATATTTACCGCTTTTCTTTGCGGCCAGCTCTAGTGCCGAAATGTTGCAGTTAGGCCGTCTCAGGTTGCTCTGGATGTGTGGCGCAAGCCTGAAGCTGGTGCGAACAGCAGACCAAGCTCCGTTTTTCTGTCTTGCAGCTCGGAGAGTCTGGAAGGACTACTTCCCGGCGGTGGACTCGATTGTCTTCTTAATAGACGCCCACGACCGGGAACGATTTCCGGAGTCCAAAGCCGAACTGGATGTGAGCACGCTTGGTTTGTCCGTCTCTGCTTCGGGGGCTTTGCAGCTTTCCGGGGGAAGGACTGCCGCCACCCTCCCCCCAGAGTCTGCACGGCCGAGGGGGGAATTGCGAAATGGGAGCGACCGAAGAGAGCGTAGATTGGCGCTTATCTACCTCTCGTGGAGGTACGCCGATCTGCCGCACACAGGCGTTTCTGCCGTACGAGTACCTCGGACACCCACGTACCATTAATACGAGATACTGCAGCCTAGCTTGGCCATATTAGTCGAGTGTGCATTGCCTTTCTCTAGGTGGTGCCGAGAATCTTCTGCTATGGTTTTATTGTTGGAAATTCCCGACGCTGTAGTACAGTCAACTCTCCATCGTTCGAAGCTCATGGGGACGGCGAAATGGTTCAAATCTAGGAAGTGCACTCAAAACACGATCTTCTATTCCATATTCGCCTGGGAGAGTGTATATGTGTGTGTCTCCGATAACAGAGACACGTTGACCCCTTAACCATTTAGGATGAGTGTAGCTCGTCTGTGCACTCTACATCGCCCCTTGGCTGTTTTGGATTATCCAAGCTCATTCGGAGCTTGGTTTGTGGCGCTGCTCAGGTATGGCAGTGCGTGTTTCCTATTATACTCATTTTCAAAGACGGCAACCAATTGTAGAGATACGTGCGTCCCAAGCCGCCCGTGCAATAAAAAAAAAAAAAAGGTTAAGGGGTTAACTATGCTCTACGGATTGTAAGCCTTTCTGAGGGTTTTTCCGGCGGTTTCTTAACCAAAGAAAACGTGACGAAGTACTCTGGTGCCACAAGCAGTGTCCGCGCAAGTGGCACACAGCCGCTTGGCACGTAAAGCGACGTGCCCAGTTTTGTGGTCTGAGAGCAGGCCACCGACCACGGCATGTTTGGTGACATCGACATGGTCAATGTCACCAAGCTTCGTCGGCTGTATGCACCGCGAGGCCACGTTTGCTTCCAAAGCTTTCGCAAGTACGGCACCACGATGCGCACATCTGCGGCCATGCTGCTTGGCCCGGCTGCGTAGCTGGCTTGGCCGCCTGCTGACATGGTCGCATGTTACGTTCATTCTCTCTTTTTCCTGACCACGCGTTTAATAGATGAAACCGATGGAGTGTGCATAGGTGCAGCATAAGCTCCTTCGGCATGCTGCTCTTTTATGCTCCCCAACTTGCCGGACCTCTGGAGCGCGCAAAAGAATCCTCGGAATTAACGAGTCCCAGAGGTTGGAATTATTGCAATTTTTTTCAGTAGTGATTGCCGCGGCAGTACCCTTGCTTCCAACCTAAAATTTGAACTAAGTGACTTTGAAGTACCGAGAGTCGACTGTAGCACTCTTCTCGAATACAGTAAACTCTCACTTGAGCAAACTTCAAGAGACCCAAGGAAATAGTTTGCTTAACTGAAACTTCACTAAACTGAATATATTCGCTAGAACACGGAACAGCATAGGGCACAGCATGCATCGATTGAAATGCAATTAATGGAGTCATTTACATCGATACATACAAAGTGCATAACAGTTACGTTGCTGCCTTTTTCTAATTTTCGTTTGCATCAACGCTCTCAAAGCGCATGAAGTGACGGGGCTGTCCGGAGAGTCTGTTTCTTTGCACTTCCTCGGGCACGGCTTGCTGCTGTGACGAAGCTATACCGCAATGGCATCTTCCACTGGCTCGAAATATTCCGTGCATAGTAGTCGTTTCCTGTTGGGATTGAACGCAGTTTCTCCTTCAAGCTTAGACTTTTGCTTAACTATCATTGACAACGTCGACGGTGGAATCCCATAGTCTTTCGCAATGTCCACTTGCCTTTGACCATTGTCCCGATGCTGAAGGATTTTGAGCTTGTCTGATAGAGTCAACCGCTTCCGTTTCGTCGTACTCATTACGAAAGTGGGTGCACAAACTGCCGACCTGCCATTGTTGCCCAAAACTAGGGATGGCTGAACGGAACTGTTGACAAAGAAGAAACAGACACACCACATGGTTCATTTTCGTCTACCGCACGGCCGCTTTGCCTCGGCTGTGCTGTAAAGGCCAGCGATGATACGCCGCCACTGCAGAGGCGATTGTGGTGAGGCGGCGGGCATCGGCTACGCCAGCACTGCAGAGCACAAAACTTGGCAGAACTGATTACAAAAATAATTCTGGGTCCACCAAACAAGTTCGTTGAACCGAAATATTCGCATTCCAAAATTCGGTAATTCGTTTAACTGACACATTTTGGCATAAAATGCGTCGGAAAGCCGACGAGAAATTTTTTAAAGTTTGTTATTCTGCAATATTTGTTAAACCGACGTCTGCTCAAGTGAGAGTTTAGTGTATTCCCTAATGTTCAAATTAGTTTGGAGAAATGTTGACAAAAAAAGCTCGATTACTTAAAAAGGTGTTGGGCCAGTTTCCAGTGTTTGGCTGACAGAAGCGAGACATCCCTTGTAGTTTTTGCCTGCCGTAGATGGGCTCTTGACGAGCATTTTGTGTTGCGCAGAGCTTGCTCACTGACGAGCAGTTGGCAAACTGCCCAGTGCTGATTTTGGGCAACAAGATCGACAAACCGGGAGCGGCCAGCGAAGACGACCTCAGGGCCTACTTTGGCCTGTACTCCCAGACCACCGGGAAGGTGAGTGCCCCACCCTTCACTCTTCACATACATTTAAGTTAGCAACTCTCGTCGTCCTGCCGCAACTTTCGGGTCTCACGTTCCTGTCCCATTTCCCCCAACGCTCGAATGTCAGAGCTCCGAAAGGTGGAAAGTAGGGATGTCGCGAACCACCCTGGATTCAATTTTGAAAGGTTTCGATACTTTCAAAGTGAACTCAGGTTCGAATTCGAAAACTTTTGATATTTTCGTACCGACCGGGGTTCAATCTCAAAAACATTCGCAACTTTCGATCACAGTGGAGTTTCGAATTCGAAAAGTTCGAAGCTTTCACGGTTTCTAAAATTTCGGGTTCGAATATTTCTAATATATTTTTACTTGAGGTTCAATAAATTCGAAGATTTCGAACTTTCCTATCTTGAAATTCGAGATATTAGAAAAATTTCAATTTCTTAGAACCTGAAGTTTGAAAATTTCGAAATTCTTTAAATATAAAATTTGAACACTTCGAATTTTTATAGACATGAAGTTTGAAGATTTCGAATTTCTTTCTACATAAAGTTCGAAGAGTTCAAAGGTTTCTATTCTCTTTTAACATTAAAGTAAAAAAAAAAAAAAAAAACTGAAGATTTTTTTTTTTTTTTTTATGTCCAATTTTTTAAAGTTTGAAGTCCGGTTTTCATATTCCTCCACAGTTTCAGTTCCAAATAACGTTTTCACGACTCACTGGTTTTCATTTCACGAAATTAGGTTTAGAAAGGTTAGGGTCTGATATTTAGACTCCGTGAAGTTGGTCAGGCAATTAAATGAGACGACGAGTGTCCCGGATGTGCTGGAATCATTGCCAGTGCAGAGTGACGTGTGGCCATAGATCAGTAATAGCGACCGCCAGCCCAGGGGTGCCTTTAACGTGCATCACGCAGTAGTGATCCTACGAACGCACTGTTTAACGATACTCATCCGGTTCGAAACGGCCAGGGGCGGGCAGGTGGCTGAGGCTCAGAAAAACCTTGAAGCGACCTGGCAAACTACCTCCCCACCCCTTGCACGCTGGTAGAAATCCGATCGAACGCCGCCCAAGTGATACTGGCATATAGTAAGTTTAGTTTGTAATTGTCCTGGAGGTCTATTTTCCGGGACTGAGGAATCGCCTCGCAAAAAGCACAGAAGCCGACACAACTCGAGGTTGAGGAGCGTTCTACTAGTTGCGTCGGAAGAGGGAAAATGGAGGGGAAGGGGGGGGGGGCGGCTTCAGCCAGCCTTCCTTCCCTTCCAGATATTTTGGACCCTTAAAGAAAACAATACGGGGAAAAAGGGCATGGTCGAGCTTATATTAATCTGAAATTATTTATGCATATGTATACACCAACTTATGTTTACAAACAAACCGGAGCGCCCGTAGTGGACGCCACCGGTGCCGCGCATGCGCGATGGAGGTGAGGGCAAGAGGCTCGCCGTCGTCCATAAACAAACCATTGAAATGCGATGTCGGCGTCGGTGTGAGCCCCCGCGCTCTTTTTGACGTTAGAATTGTTGATTCTACGTCCTCCTAACGATATCTGACTACTTGAGCGGCGTCAGCGAAATTACCGAGGCTCGCCACACCGCAAAACTTCGCGTGAATCATCTGACATGCGGCAATTCATTCCGCGTGGACGCCGCAGAATGTACGCTAAAGCCTGATTCACATGATGAGATTTCGCTCGCAATTTTCAGTAGCAACGTCGCTCGGACTGCAAAAGCGTGAACCGTAGCTGAGATGTCGACGTCGATACTGAAAATCGCAAGCAGAATCTAACCAAGTGAATCGGGCATAACAAGTCGGTGATGGCCACTGGTAACAATGATCAACATCTTATTGTATGTACTGTTTACGTCCAGCCTGCTAACCAACCTTCAAACTTAAGTCTTTTGAGGCCTGCACTTACTTCTTATCGCAAGTACCGGGCCCACGTTTGGTCTACGGGCCGGTGTCCTCTAAAAGAGCAGACGACAAGCAGAAACGTTTGAAAGAGCAGACGACAGTTCGAACGATCAGGCGGCCGTTTGAACTTGAAGACGCACTGAACGTAGTCCGCAGGTGGTCCGTACAACTTGACGGTTTTCCGGCGTTCATTTTGGAACAAAACAAATCAATTTTATGACCAGAAGTATCCGTGAATTCAACCCAAAATGCTTCCCGCCCAAGCAATCGTGGTGCAACGGCGTCTGGTTTTCCATTTTCACGGCACATATCCACGTTCTCGGACGAACCGAGCGCATAAAAACTGACCTTCAAATCTTTCTCGACACTTTTGGTACAGCCCCAGTCGCAGCATTTTGACGACAAGGCAGCATTGCCTGGTTCGTTTCAAAACAACGCAGTAATACACGTCTCACATGGGCACTTCCGCCCACAGCCCCGGACCGGAAGTGCGTCCGACGCGCCACCACCGCGGCGTGACGTAATGGAGATGAGTTCGTGTATAGCTACTGTCGCTCTTCACTTCATAAAAGATCGCGTAGATGGTCATTGTCGGAAACTCGTTGTCATAAGGCACTACTTGTCACATGCTTAGTGGTTCGGAAGTTCAAAGCTATGTCTTTTCGACCTGAATAACTGTGCCATTAATAAAAAAAATAAACTTAACAATAAAGGCGGAAATAAAAAGATGGAGAAAAAAAAAAAAACTATCAAGAATTCGCCGGAGTGCTGTATTCTTGCATATTCAGAGGCTCAGAACTTCGAAACAAGTTTCTCCTACCAAAACGTATATAGGCTAAGAGAAACACGTCCCAAAAACATGAAACAAAAAAAAAAAAAACAAAAAAAAAAAGTTGTTTATTTAATGACGTGTTGAACTTGAGCAGTATTAGAAATCTTCTCCCATGAGCTAAATTATTCCTTAACATGAAAAAAACAATAAATACATTATTTTGTATTCTGCAGATGGCAACGATATGTACTGTCTGTGGTGTTAATTTAAATGCGATACCTGAAACAATTTAGACAAAAATAAATACCAAGTTTAGGGCATAATTGCATGTAGATACATGTTTGGACAGTTCTTCGAAACTCACCTTGAATAAGAATAATCACATCTTAAGACGACACTTACCTAGGCTATACAGAGATCATTCTTAAAAACTTTAACATCTCTACTATAAATAGCTTCGGCTATAGCGCGCTTCAAATATGGCACAAACGACAATCGTCAAAAATCCGTCGTCCTTCCTCGCCCCTTCGGGAATTTATTTCTTTAAAACTAAGCATGCCAGAACATTGAAATAAACGGCATTGTCTTTCGTAAGGAACATAGCACCGCATGTAAAAATTTGAGAAAAAAAAATTACGAATGTACCTCACTACTTGAATTCAAATGAAACCGTCCTCTGGTCTTTCAATGTTCGACTAACATCGAACATTTACCCTAAAAGTTTGAAGTTCATCGAACTTTAGACTTTTCAGGATTCGAAAGTTTGAAACTTTTCTAATTCTCTTGATAAATAAATTCGAAAATTATCAGATTCCTTAGCGTAGTAAGTTCGAAAGTTTGAAAAGCTTAGAATCTTTTGGTGCAAGAAATTCGAAACTTCGAAAATCATCAAATTTTTTGTCTATCAAGTTCGAAAGTTGGACAAGCATCGAATTTTGCAGCGTGATAAGTTCGAAAGTTTGAAAAGGATTGAATTTTTAGCGTAATAAGTTCGACGGTTCGAAAAGCGTCGAACTTCTTGGTTTAACAAGTTCGAAAATTCGACTTTCGTCGAATTTTACGATATAGAAAGTTCGAAAATTCGAAATCTGTCTAACCTTTCGAACCGCTTATTCTATCATCGAAACTTTGGTTCAAAAAAAGTTCGCGGCATCCCTAGTGGAAAGTAATCGAGTCGCGATACTCTGGGTGAAATAAAAAAAATTAAGCGTCCGCTCGTAAGCCTAATTATGGTGCAGCGTGGCTGCCCATCTTCTTGGATTTCTAAATGCTGCGGTAAATCCCAGTGCGATGCTTTAAGAAACTGATTTCTGCTGTCCCTTCAAACAGCAAACAATCCCAATGACTCTAGCGTTATAAAGAATGACGCATCGAGCGGTGGATGCGGCACAAAAAAGAACAAACGGAGCATCTGCAGAATGCCGACCATTGCAACGTTGGCTGCCATTCTTTTTCTTTTTTTTTCCAAGCCGATTGAGAAAGAGGAATGGGACCACGCGCAGAAAGGTGCTTTAGGAGTTCCCGCATTGCATCTGGGCGCGTTTCCTCGCAGGGCAAGATCCCCAGGTCGGAAATGACTGCTCGCCCACTGGAGATGTTCATGTGCAGCGTGCTGAAGAGGCAAGGCTACGGCGAAGGCTTCCGCTGGCTGGCCCAGTACATCTAAAGGGAGCGTGTGGATAGCCTCAAAACGGCCGCCGCTCTCCGTGCCGGACTGTGTTGGGAACCGGAACTGTTGCCCGCCGCTTGGACGGCCCCCAACAGACGCCCCCTGACTCGGCTTCGGAGCCTGCGGCATCGCGGGCGTCGGGCTTTGTGCGGAGCGCAGTCCGTGCAGGGAGTGGCAGGGGCGGCCCTTTCGGAAGGACCTCTTCAACGGGTTGCGCAAAGCCGGGGATTTTTTTTTCTTGTTTTGTTTAGGGTGGGAAGGCGGCGCAAAGCAAAATGAGGAAACATGTTGCCATTGGACACTTTTTCTTACTGTTCGTGTTGGTCCTTTATTTTTATTTTTTGCTTCCCGACTTTTGGAATTATTTTTCTTTCGAGCAAATGTGGCAGTTAGTTTCGAACGAAGGGGGTTTACGAGCGCGGTCTAGGTTCAGAGAAATGTTTCTAGCGCATAGCGTCAACCGCGGTTTCTAGGCTCTCGACGGAGGAAAGGAGATTGTTTTTAATTTCGGAAGAATGTCGTCAATACACAAAGTGGGAATGCTTTTGCCGGTTGTAAATTTGTAAAGCTGGGCATTTTCATTTGTGACAGACGGAGCGTGTGCGCTCTTCTTTATTTTTGTCTTTGTAGCACGGAGGAGCGATAAACTTTCATTAACTACGTTTGTACTGGCGTCGTGAGTTTCGTTTACAGATGTGATCTGCAGGAAATACTGGACGGGGGCATAGCCGTGGGGTAAGCTGTCGGGCACCCCCCAAAATAAGCAAATATTTCCAGCAATGCCACTTGTCATAGAGATCACGGGAGAGTTACGGACGGAGGTACGGCGGTTGACTGTAACCGGCACCGCAAATCGAATGCAGTTTTCCCATTGATAAAAGAGAAACTTGGGCTAGTTGGCCGTTCGTATCTTAAGGGGGCATACTATCTAAAAACAATTTCTGCGAGAAAAGTTGATTTTGAAAAGGGTCATATCTATATCCACCAACATCTGGAGAGTATTCCCAGAAAGTTCCATTAGTTTACGGTGCATAGTTAATTTTTTATAAATTATTTTCGGTTCACCGATGCTAAAGAAAAAGGAGTGGTTGGAGGACTTTGAACGCATTTTTCTCTGTTTCAATTTTTGGCATAAATTTCGCTTCAGGAAAACTATTGTTTTGTTGTTACGTAACTTGGATTAATTTCTACGAGTTTTTCTGGGGTGAAAGTTTTCTAAAATTCGGTTTTAATCGAAAAGGGTCAGACTTTTAGGGCCGTGTCGAGGTGGCTGGGGAGGGAGAGAGAGAGAGAGCTTTGCGAGGTTCGACATTGTGTGACGTCTTCGTGATTGCCCTCTTCCGAGGTTCAACATGCAACAAAAGAGGTCTTGGATTGGCCTTTGCGGGACATCTGTGTCCTTTCTGTGATCGGGCTTAGTGTGTCAAGTCCCCGGTCCTAAAAGTTTCGGATGTGGGCTAGTATAAGGTTTTTCGCTTCATGCACTTCGAAGGACATCCAGGAAAGCTGTTAATACCTTTCTTAACACCCTCACTCACACTTCCCTGTGGTTGAGAACATAAATACGATGGTTTTTGTTTTGGCCATTCCGCTAGTTCCTGTACGGTCATCACCTAAGACGGTCACGTCATCAGAATGGGAAGGAAAAAGAAGCGCGCTGAAAATTATGCCCACGAATTCCGCGATTGTGAGGTGTGTCCTGACGGAAGTTGTAGCAAAGACCACGTATGTATATGTGTTGCATTGCAAATATCACAGCTACAAGGATCATCTCATCGGGTGTCCAATGGTGTTTCTTTCACATTCACCGAAAAATAACGGTAAACTTTTTTGCGAATAAATATACACCGAAAAGAACCGAAAATTGAATTTTAAAATAAACAGCGAAAAAAGTATGCCATATTTTTAAAAATTGAAAACCGAAAACGCAGAACCCTATGTAAAACTCATAAAATCGACAAATTTATACCATAGAATACCGTGCATCCGCCCATTCCACACCAAGTGCCCATCCCCAAATTCGTAAGATCTGAGAAAATATGCGCAGTACATTGATATGTAAAATCAATGACCGGACAAACGCCCGTCCCCCATTTTTTCGCGATTATCTCTAAATTTTGAGTGGGCGCTTGTTCGGCATTTTACGGTAAGTAATTTCAAAACGATGGTTATCCTACACAGGCACGCCCACTTTCATCTTTGAATGTTTGCAATTTCTATTGTACTTCACTTAGGTTAACGAAATTTGGCAGAAATGTTCTCAAGATCAACAGAAACACGCCCTGTAAATGTCATTTCAATCGGACAAGTGGTTCAAACATTCACTTTTTTGGGTAGTGTCCCCCTTAAAGGGCAACTCCGCTCAATTCCGTAAAATTTAGGCTTGCATGTGATTCCATTTCACAAAGCACTACTAAACAGCTCTGCATCATCGGATTCGCGAATTGTGGAATATTTGTGTAATCTTGATTTAAACTACAGCTGATACCGAAACTTTGGTTGCGTCAGGCAACATTGGCCTCGTGTCGTCAAAGTCATGGCCACGTCACGTCGAACCACATGGTCTTGTGACATTCGTGGGGGCGAGGTACAGGACACGTGACGTGGGCAGGTCGCTTCGCATGGCGTGGACGGTGATGGCCCGGGGGAGAGGGGGAAGGGGAGAGGAAGAGCGGAGAAACCGGACATGTGGAACAAGTGCAATCTAGCATAGACAGACCGATAAGCGTGCAGGGCTGCGCAAACTAGCGCATGCGCATTACGGTGGTGATCACGTGGACGCCAATGAGCCAACACCGGGAGGAGAAACTCGTGACGTCATCGTTCAATTTTGCTCCGAGCAGTAAAAACAAAACGTGAAAATGACGTAGACATGCCTCTGACGTAGTGGCTCAGTGTTGGCCGCTCCAACTCCGTGGCATTGACTGCGCTGATGATTGCGCCTCGCGTCGCACGCTAGAGTTGGCAGATTCCGGCGACTTGGCTTATTTGAAAGTTTGCTGACCAGTTTTTTAAATATATAGACTGAATTAGAACGTGATATTTGACGTGGGGTCTCCCTATATGATACTGAAGAGGGCTGCATAGTTTTCTATATATAAAAAGTGAAGCAGAGTTGCCCTTTAAGGTAACGGCGCAAGATCAATTGTACAACACAACACACAGAAGGAAAAATGTGCTGATTTACAACTCTGTATACTGCTACTTCTTTGTTAGTGAGAAGCTTATTTAGAAGTGTTTCTTGTATTTGTGCTATTGTTGCTGGTAAGGGAGAATTCGAGAGTCAACCCAGTGAAGAGAACAAAGAAGTAGCAGAATACAAAGAGTTGTAAGTCGGTGCGTGTGTTTGTCCTTCTGTGTGTCGTGTTGTGCGATGATCTTGCACTGTTACCTTAAGATAAGTTTTCCCAGTCGACATATCGGGGCAGCCTCTCACCGTCGGGAATTGGTGTGCTTACGGGAGTATGAGTGCAGTCGTGTCGTCAACATAGACACCGCTACGTAGACAATCTTTTCGGAGATGAACTAGGTAAATACGCATATTTTTGACTCATTATGGACAACTCGCATTATGAACGATTTGGGGGGAATGTCCACATTAACGAGACGTGACTGCATGTCATACTTCTCGTACAAACCTGAAGGGAGGCCAGTGTTACTTCGTGGTAACACATTTAGTTTGGCTGGGTGCTAGATGACTTTAATATAAGCACTTTTATCGCAGCAAAGACGGTGTGTTGGTAATGAAATCAATAATTGCGTCGATACATAATCTCGAAAATATAGGTTACGGCAGAGACATTTTGGTAATAATAAAATGAATAATTGCGCTAGTTTGTACCAGCGTTGCGGAGTTGCCTCTTCGAAGTTGGAACGAGTCCGAAGTTGTTCCGCTCTTCCATGACCCCGGAATGGAAATGGATGCCTGCTGCGCAGAATGGAGTGAGAATGGAATGGGCTCGGCTCTTACGTGACCTGCGTCGATCTTCGGCTAGATCTTGCGGCCTGCTGCTGCAGAGCTAGCGCACAGTCAAAGTTGCTCTCTAACTAGCACCGTTGCACCTAAGGTGACCGACGGCTCAATTCTCTGACCGGCTCGTGCTCCTTGGAGGACGAAAGTGGCGTCCCCAGTGAAGCAACCAACACTGAAAAGGTGTAGGCAAACAAGGCGGCTGTTGTAACCACGAGCGATTGCAGACGGGGAAGAAGGCACTCTCAGTTGTGAGCCTTGTCACTCCAGAGCCTGCAGTCTGGCAACTATGGTGCCTGGAAGGAGTCTGGCACCGGTGACCGCGTCCAAAAAGCTGGTCCCTCGATTTCCACCCGTAGTAGAAGTGTCACGCTGTCGCTTCTTGGCGGCGTCTCAGCAGCGGTGCTGGATGACACCTGTTCTGCAGCCTGCAGGTTGCTCCCCAGATTGGCAGTACGCAGAAGCGTCGGCAGGCAGGAGTTGAGACGACGACTCGGCACTTCCGTTGGCTCGCGCTTTCTGCTAGAAATCGTATGACCAACCGCCAGGGTGGTGCCATCCGACGGCTTTTGCGACGTCCTCTGTTGCCACTTGGGGACAACTTTGGATGCGTGGGCAGAATGGGAAGCACCGGTCGGAGACTTGGGCGCCGTAACTGGCTTACGTTACTGCGACACGGGGCGCCTATTCCCCGAGAGTGTCGTTGCTCCTTGGCTTCACCTTGCGACGGACCGCAGCGGGTGTTACGAGCCACCCCAGCGAATCCGGCGTTTCAAATGCATCGCTTGATTGCACGCTGCGTGCGTCGCTGCATCCCTTCCAAAGGTGAGACGCTGCATCTGCAGTGTGGCCAACCGCCGCCAAGCGCTTTGTCGGACCACAGCTTGGCTTAGTAGGATCGGTGCGCGGGGGTACACATTTTGCATATTTTTGCAGTTATCTACGCTTTCGATAACAGGTTTATGCTGCTTTTGCTGGGCCATTCCAGGAGTGGGAATGAACCCAGTGTCTAGCAGTTGAAAGGAATGGAATTATCGTAAACTCCCGATTCCCCAGAATGGAGTTTGAATGGAATAGGGGTGCTCATTCCAAAACCGGTTTGTGCTTAGCTTTAAAATGATGGGTGCATGTAGTGCTGCGAGGACAGTTTATTTGTACTATAGTAATTAGGCTAGTTCGTACATGACCGAAGCAATATGAGTTTAGTATTACGCTGGACACTGTTTTATACTAAAATGATTAACTAGCTGTTTAGGTCACTTTGGAACTCTAAGCACCAAGAATGCGACACTGGAGAGAAAGAATGGACAGTGAAAACCTCCGTGCTCTATCTCAAGGTCGCAGGGCCGTGAAAGGCACATACTTTTTCCCAAGCAGTGCTATGCACAGTTTGTATGTACTAAACTTGAGAGATGGAGCACAGCCTGTAGGGGGGGTAATGCATATAGACCCTTTTACTGTTCACAAACATGCCGCTTACGTCCCAAGCGCCTTCCAGTCTCTCTGTCTTTGGAAGCCCGTCGAGTTTGCTTATGCCGAAGATGCTAGGAAGCATAAATGCTACACTGACAACAAAGTTGCAGATTTAGCGAGGGCCTTCGGCTGTACGATTTAACGTCTTGGAGGAGGCAAGTTGGTTTACAAGAATATTCAAAAACTTGAAGCAAGTTTCGCGCTGCTTGGTTTTTTTGGCA